ATCATGGTAATTATAATTCTCAAAATTGCCAATTGAAATACGGGAGCGGTAGAAAAGTAATATGGAAACATTAATTTGGAACACTGACATCTACTTTTTACTTTCTTACAATTATCAATGGAAATGAGTTAAATGAATTTAGTTCATTAGTTGAACAACTGTGTACAAATTGTTTTCGTAGAAGTTTTTTTAGTGTTTGCACTCATTGCTCTAAATCTAAATAGCATATATATTTAAGATGGTAGTGAACACATAATTAATTTTATTATGTTTAACTTTATATATTGAATAACATCAACTTAAAAATTCAAAACCGGGTGCAATTGTGAACAAATTTATTTTCTAATATTAAATAGCGATATAACTATAAATATATCCTTTCCTTGCTCTTTGTGCACCATTTTCGTGACCCATAATGATGATTTCATCAATGCTACTGCCCTTTTAATAGGCTGATTATGACCCATTGACCCTTTCTTTAGGACCCATGTATGCTTTGTATTTCACCATATGAAAATCAAGCCCAGTTTTTTTTTGTGAGAAACAGAGCGCAGAGGGCCGCTCTAACCCTTAATCATTAATAAATCGAGGCGTTTGTACACCAAGAGAATCAAACAACAACCAGTAGCGTAAGATAGGACCCGGGGTATCCAAAACATGTATCCCAGTAGGTAGCAAATGACCCACAACAGCCATAAAGTCAGCAACATAATTGCTTTCACGAAAGACATGTTCTGTTCGAACCTCCCAATGGCGGTTGAGTAGCTGCCGGATCGAAGCTGCCATGGTCTAATGCGGGTGGTTATCTCGGTATATCTGGATGATTGCTAGCGCTGTCCTAGAGTCAGTCTGAAGCCGCACGCTTCGTATCCCCATATCCCAAGCGATAGTAAGGCCATGATAGATTCCGGCCAGTTCGGCATGTGTGATAGATCGGACACCCAAATTAGCTGAGAAAGCCCGCATAAATCTGCCCTCGCTATCCCGAAGTACACCTCCCGCCGTGGCACTCCCCAAGCTAATATCACTGATCCATCCGTGTTCAGAGCGATCCATCCCGGAGACGGCCTCTCCCAGCTAACCAAGCTCGAGCTCCTCTCACCTCCGGAGCCCATGGCTTCCTGCACCTTATTGAACGCGAGGTGGCATTGTTGCTTCATCTCTTCGGCTTGGCGAGCCAGTAGTGATGTCGGCGCCAACACTTTGTCAAAGACCCACTTGTTCCTATTTTTCCAAAGCTTCCAGCATAGGACGGCGAAGAGGGAAGAATCCACAATAGCACTCCGGTCTGCCGGGTAGTGTAGCGCCCATTTGACACTATCCTCCATAAAAAAGTCACAATCCGGCTCATCTCGTATTACCTCCGACCAAACAGCTCGGGCATAAGGGCAATCCCGAATCACATGCATAGTCGTCTCTGGTCCACTGCCACATATCGGAAAGTCATCAACTTGAGCTAGGTGTTGTTGGTGGAGCTCCCCATTTGTAAGCAGCTTGTTATGAAGTACAAGCCAAAAGAATGTTCTTGTTCTCTAGGGACCGGCAACCCGCCAAACCTTCTTCCAAACCAGATGGGATTGGCCAATATCCTCCTCCTCCCGCAAGAGCTCGCAAGCCGACTTGATAGTAAAAAGTTCATTAGGAGAGAGTCGCCAAACAGGGATGTCGGGCCCTTCTTCGTACGGGACTGGGTGGAGCAACAGTTGCTTGACCAAGGCCTCGGGCAAGAAGGCACGAATGAACGGGAGATTTCATTCCCCATTAAGAACTAGGTCAGCCACCGTGGGATCCCTTGCGGCCTCAGGGAGATCATGCGCGAACTCGGCTAGTGGTGGACCGTCCTGGAGCCAACAGTCCTCCCAAAATCTCGTCTGCGAACCACTCTTTATATTCCACATCGTCCCTTGCGGTAAGTGATGAAGGACCTTTAGAATGCCCCGCCACAAATTCGAAAGCCGCCCCTCAGTTCTTGGTTGCCAGCCTTCGTCAGTGCGCCGCAGATACTTACTCCGCACAATACGTGCCCATAGAGAGTCAGCCTCTATCATTAATCTCCAGGCAATTTTCATCATGAATGCTTCGTTCATACGGGTGGCACTACGCAGGCCTAAACCACCCTCCTCCTTTGTTTGGCATAGTGTATCCCAGTCCACTAGATGTAGCTTCCTTCCCTGATCGGAGCTCCCCCCAAATAAATCCTCGGATCTTCTTATCAATATACTCGCAAACAGAAGCCGGGAGCAGCAATGTCTGCATCGTATAAGCTGGGAGAGAGGATAGGACCGACTGTGCTAGAGTAATCCTCCCTGCCAAAGACAAGGATTTAACTTTCCACCCTGCCAGCCTCTTGTCAATCCGATCAATGAGCTCTGTATAGGTCGCCTTGGACACCCTGTCATGGATCACCGGAACTCCTAGGTACCTCCCAAGATTTGCAGTTGTCGGGATATTCAAAGCACTGCTGATCGCATCCCCATTCGCTACAGTAACATTCTTCGAGAAAAAGACACGTGATTTGGGTCTGCTAACTTGTTGCCCTGACGCTGCTCCAAAATCCTCTAAAAACCGTAGCATCACCTGCACCTGCCTCATCGACGCCACACTGAACAAGATGAGGTCGTCAGCAAAAAATAGATGGGACAATGAGGGCCCGTTACTCGAAACTTGTATTGGTTCCCACTCTCCCTGTTCCACCGCCATCGTAATTAGATGCCCCAGCCTTTCCATGCACAGGGTAAATATGTATGGTGAAAGTGGGTAGCCTTGCCGAAGACCCGGCTCGGTGTAAAGCCCTCCGTAATCCCTCCGTTCCACTGGATCTGCATAGACGGAGAAGAGATACAGCTCATAGTAATGTCAGTAAAACTCTGGGGAGCCCCGACTGCCTGCAGGGTGTCTCGCACAAAGCTCCACTTAATCCGGTCGTACGCCTTAGCAAGGTCAATCTTGAGGACCATCCAACCAGATCTTCCTTTCTTTGCCCGCATCGAATGCACCACCTCCTGCAAAATACAAATGTTATCCGTTATGTGCCTTCCCGGGACTTACAATAATTAACTTGAAACGGTGTTAAAGTGGATTGGTGGATTATCCATGAATCCAAATGACATCCTCAATCAAGGACCAATATGTAAAATGTGAAAAGTTTAGGTACTAAAATATCAAAATAAAAAATTTTAGGCACCAAAACGTAATTTTTGCAATGATATTTTTCATAAAAAATTAAATTTTGGGTACCAAAATGTAAAATATGAAAATTATAGGTACCACATCATAATTTTCCATTTGGATCCATGGATCAATCCATGAATCCACCAATCCAATTGGATTGGATTTAAATGGATTGGATTATGTGGATATTTTTAGTTGGCTGGTGGATTGGATTGAGAATTGCCACCTCTATTTGCCAGTGTCTTTGCCAATGAACTCGTGGCACAGATGCCATACCCCAATAGTGATCAAATCCGAGAGAGAAGAAGAAGAAAGCAATCGGAAGAGAAGACTATAGAAGAGAAAAAATCACAAACGAGATGAGTGTCACCGTCGAGATAATGTCTCGCTTCAATTCATATTTTTTCAGGATACTAGATGTATAATAAATATGAATTAAGTTTATTTTCAGTAAAAATTCAGTTTAGCTATTGAAATTCTCATACTTCGGGTTCATAGATCCTATAACTTCAAAGTAGATCAATCAAGTTCTTTAACTTACAATTTTTTTATTAATTACGCATTTATGACAATAATAAATAATATGCTACAAATTGAATTTGATGAGTAATTTTTTGACGAAAGTGGATTCATGCATTTATATTGAATATCCTTGTAAAACATAAAACATTTTAGTTTAGGCTGTTGGTGTCAAATATCAATATAGAAGACATAATTAGGGTGTACAAAGTACAGCTTTAGTTTTCAGATAGCCTTTTCATCTAACACAGTTTACCCATTAACGAATAGTCTGGCCGGCCACCATTCGCAAAAGATTGGGTGGTGCACAGTTGCTTTCGTGACACAACCCATATTTCACTAAATTGATGTGAGTTGTCGCTAAAGATTCCTCAATTCCCAATTCGCTTTTTGTAACTGTATATGGAAGGATCGAAAATTTGACTAAATTTGATTCCCCCGCGCATCTCATTCGTTCATCCCATATACACAACAAATACTTGTTCCATTCCCTTTTGCCCTAATATCTCCATTGGCAAGATGTCAACGTGGTGAAGAGAAAGACAAGACGTATATAATATCTTTGATGCATCATACAACAAAACAAAAGATGCCACAATGGTTTCTCCGGCGACTCAATCCCATTTTGATACCCTCCGTTGACCTTTCCCTATTCATTACCTACCTTCCTCCGCTCTCTTTTCAACTAATTAGTGACCACCTTGTGGGGCAGGGTTAGGAATGACAATGGGCAGGTTCGGGTAGGTTTCTTGGTACCCAGACCCGCCCCGTAGCAGGTCGGATAATTGATCACGGATCGCGGGTCGGGGCAGATCGACCCAATGAGTATGCAATTTATATTAAAAATATTAGCAATATTTGTTATTTTTATTATAAGACTAAGAAAACAAACAATATTATGACAATTGTAGTTAAATTATTGGAGAAATCGAGGTTTCACTAATTTACAACTTTCTTATAGCTAAAAATATGATGCAATAAAAGGAAAATCCTAAGTAATTTGACTAAAATTACATGTAATTTAGACAAGAACGGATCGAGAATGAGGCGGATCAGGGCAGGTCGGATAAAACGGGTAAGGTCGAAATTGCCATCCCTAGGCAGGACCATTTTCCCGCAATCCTGTTTCTATATATAAGGGGCCATAATTGGCCGTCACAAAAAATCATACCACGCCCCATAAGCACCGGAGAAGAAGAAAAAAGACCCAAAAAATGGTAAATCCCCTTCCCTTTCACAACTACCCATTTCTTCAGTCGTCGCCTAAGAGTTTCCCATCTCCCGTCGCTAAAAGCGTTTTCTCGTGTTTCAGGAGAATGTGGTCGCTAAAGATGGTGCAGTCCAGCGGAGGCTCGGAGGGAACAGGGCCGTCCTTTTCGTATTCGGTAAATCAATGGAGCCCTTTTTTCTTTCTTTTTGTGATCTTATTCCTTTCCATTTTGACTGACATCTTCATCTGCTCCTGTGATCTTTCCAGCCATGGAAGGACTGGAGAACATGGCGTTCGTGGCTAATGCGGTGAGCCTGTTCACCTACTTCTACGGATACATGAACTTCAGCATCACCAAATCGGCTACAACTCTGACCAACTTCATGGGCACCGCTTTCCTGCTCTCCCTCTTCGGCGGCTTCCTCTCCGACACCTACCTCTCCAGATTCACCACCTGCGTCCTCTTCGGAACCTTCGAGATTCTGGTAATAATTATCAGCTTTCTCTAATCGAGCATGGTTCAAAAAATCTAACCGTATCGACCGTCTGACAGAAAATATCGAATATCGGACCCTAAACAATTAGTGATTTTAGCGGTATAAAAAAATTGAGCCAAAATTTAATCATACAAAATACTCTACCACTAACTTTTTCAATATAATTTGAGCCAAAATTAATAAAATAGGCACAATGATTAAGGATCTGAATCCCCACCTCCCGACCACGACATTAGTTAGTCAATAATTACAAAAAAAAAAAAAAAATCTATTTTACTAATAATGTACGAGCAAATTATTTTTTTGCAGGGATATGTTCTGCTGACGGTGCAAGCCCGGGTCCACCAGCTCCGCCCGACGCCCTGCAACGGCGCGGCGGCGTTGAGCGGCGGGAGCCAGTGTGAGGCGGCGACCGGCGGGCAATCGGCGACGCTGTACATCGGGCTGTACCTGATAGCTCTGGGGACGAGCGGGGTGAAGGCGGCGCTGCCGTCGCTGGGAGCGGACCAGTTCGATTCGAGGAACCCGAAGGAGGCGGGGAAGCTGTCGAGCTTCTTCAACTGGTTCCTCTTCAGCCTCACGGTTGGGGCCATTGTCGGGGTCACGATCGTGGTTTGGGTGAGCGCCAACGTCGGTTGGGATTGGGGGTTTGGGCTCTGCGGGCTGGCGGTTCTGTGCGCCGTCGTTTTTGTTTCCATGGGGAAGTCGCTTTACCGGATGAATGCTCCTTCCGGCAGCCCCTTCGTTCGATTTGCGCAGGTGAATTTAATTTGAAGAATATATGTTTTATATTCAATTGATTTTTATGTTTTATATTCAGTTGTTTATGCAATCAGGTGTTTGTGGCTGCAATCAGAAACTGGAATGTTCCGACTCCAAAGGCTGAGGACGAGTTGTACGAAATTAAAGAGAAAGGGAAAGGAGGAATCAATGGTGAAATCCTTCAAAGAACTCATCAATTCAGGTACGTATCGAACCAAAACGTGGAACTTGGGAGTACAGATAACAGTATACCACTTCCATTTCTATCGAGAAAAGTGTAATTAAATATGGATGGCATATATCACTTGGTTGATTAGTGTAGATAATCAGCATTTTCACCTAACAATTAATTAACTACAACTGTACAAAATTCATTATAAAAAAAATTTGCTAGCCGTGGTTTATGTCACTCTTCACCAATGACAATATCTGACAAGTAGGAATTGATTATATAAAAACCCATCTCATCGAGTTTAATTTTGTGTATTAGTTTAAACCCACTTGACTAATCAATAATCATGCTAACAAGTTGTCAATTATAAATGAATTCGAGGGGAAGAGTCACAATTAACTATTAACAATTTTTCTCTAAATAAAAAGTTTTAGATATGACACCTACTTGTGCCATGATCGGCCCCTCCAATTTTAATTCAATTTTTAATGACCCACACACTTAACTCTATTTAAGTCAATTTTTTATGTTTTAGTCTCTAAATATCAGAATTGGGTCAATGTTGTCAAAAGATTTTAATTGTCGGGTCCATGTCAATTAACATCGCCAAAAATCATGAAATCGACATGCCTGGTGTCTTTACTCTTTACCCATCAATTTATTATGTCATTTAGGAAATCATGATCATAAGTCTTCCAAATGTAGAAAGGAATACATACCAATAAAGTTTTTGAAACCATATGGAGCATTGTGTATGAACCGTAACAATATCATGATATTTAATGACTTAGATCAATAATATTTTCATCATTTGACCCTACTTCATATAAGTAACATATATCGATATCGGTAAAATCATACTGAAAAATAAATGAGATCATAACTATGGCACAATTAGGCACGTCTAATCAAATATATTAATATGTATGTAGGTTTTTGGACAAGGCAGCAGCAATCGTAACGACCAACGACCTCGAAAGCCCAACGAATCTGAATCCATGGAGACTCTGCACAACGACACAAGTGGAAGAAACCAAGATCCTAATCCGAATGCTCCCAATCATCCTCAGCACGGTCTTCATGAACACCTGTCTGGCCCAACTCCAGACCTTCACGATCCAACAAAGCACGACCATGGACCGAAACTTCTTGGGCTTCCAAATCCCCGGCCCATCCATCCCCGTCATCCCCCTCCTCTTCATGTTCCTCCTCATCCCTCTCTACGACCGCGTTTTCGTCCCCTTAGCACGCAGATTCACCGGCATCCCCACCGGGATCCGCCACCTCCAGCGCATCGGCATCGGCCTCGTCCTCTCCGCCGTCTCCATGGCCGTCGCCGGAATCGTCGAGACGAAGAGGAAGCGCGTGGCGGTAGAGCACGGGATGGTCGATTCGGTGGCTCCGCTGCCGTACAGTGTCTTCTGGCTAGGGTTTCAGTACTCAATTTTCGGGGCCGCCGACATGTTCACTCTCGTTGGATTGCTGGAATTCTTCTACTCCGAGAGCTCCGCCGGGATGAAGGCGCTCAGCACGGCGATCTCGTGGACGTCGCTGGCGTTCGGGTACTTTCTGAGCACCGTGGTGGTGGAGGTCGTGAATAAAGTCAGCGGCGGGTGGCTGGAGAGCAACAATCTGAACCGGGATAAGCTGAATTACTTCTACTGGTTGTTGTCGGCGTTGAGCGTTGTGAATTTGGGGGCGTATTTGCTGTGTGCGTCTTGGTATCGGTACAAGGAGGTGGAGGTTGTGGTGGCGGCGCGTGAGGGAGACGGGAGGGAGAAGCGAGTGGGGGAGTTTGTTGGCGTTTAAGCTGTTGAATCATAAATGCTGATTGGGGAATTTTGGTTTTTAATCCTTTTGAGGTGTGGAAAAAGTTTTGGAGTGGTACCCCGTACCCTGAAAATGAAATGGAATGGAATGTGATTAGTGTTAACTGTTAAGGATAGGCTCTACTACCATTTTGGTTAATAAAATGGAATGTGATTACCTCAAGTAAATCGATAATTTGATGTCTGAACTATGATTAATGTATAACTAAAGTTTAGTGTCAGATGTGAAGGCATTATTCACTAGGAGAGTTACTATTACTTTGATATATTGTGGGTTGGATTCTGTTATTATGTCTAAAATTTAAAAATGTCTTAAGGTTTTATTGGCTAATAAGAAGAGGAAAAAGAAAGTAAGGTCTAATCCTCTAAAAGGACAATTATGGTATATTAGTTAAATATTATTATTTAATAGTTAATGAAATTCATAATTAAAATAGAAATTTGTAAAAAAAAAAAGGAAATTCAGAATGTTCACACTCTCTTTCGAGGCAACTTGTATTTACATTATTAATGTTTGCAATTACATTATCAATGTTTATGGAATGAATATTATATATATACTTCATCATTGTTAAGAATCTAATATACTTATTAATGTTTTACGATTACATTATTAATGATTTTAGTTCAGTTGCTAATGATTTACATTTTTCTTTTTTTATGTGATCCAAAAATTGAATTAATAACCAACCTTCATCAGATAAAACCTTATGTGCCTCTCAAACATATACACAACTGTTAGTAAAAGTAACACAAACTTCTACTTTACTCAATCCAACTATCAAACTCAAACTTGAGGGCAAGATCTCCACTTGCTCGATAGAGCACCTCTTCACGGATTATCTTCACCAACTTATTAGGATTCCTAATCGCCTATGATACATATACATTCGAGAACATCGCTCGCGTCAAACGTGGCTGAAGACAAAACTCTAAATCACACGACAGAGCCTTAGTCTTGGGGTCTTCAACTTCCATTTCTGCACACACCAAGCCACAGTCCCCTCTCAATCCCCTGTAATAGGTGGAGAGTGAGACTTTAAATTCTGCTGCAAAACAAACACAGTGTAAGAGCAGTTCAGAAGCAAAATGCTCCCTGCTCTCCATCCCTCCAAGACACAGTAAACAGAGACCCAACACTGGTTTTCCCCAAGACAACAACTTATCTTGGGTTACCAATCGGTTATACATAGCTATCCATATAATCATCCCATGCTTAGGTATTACATCCTTAGCCCAGACTAACTCCCACCAGGTAACCTCTTGCATATGCTGTCGAATAGAATTCCATACTCGAGAAACCGAGAATCAATTCATCTTTTCCCCCTGTCACAAAATACTAGCGCCATTCACATATACAAAGGGGCAGGGCAATGCTCTGCACTTCATAAATCGTTTCCAAATCCATGTGCCAGCAGAAGTGATTGATATGTCCCAGACACTTCTACCTTTCAAACTGTATCTGGACACCCAGGCAACCCACAATGACCCTCCAGATGATAGAATCTCCAAAATATGTCTTAGGACACAAGCTTTGTTCCAAATACTGAAATTGTGTATTCCAAGCCCACTAATATGCCTCGGGACACAAACTTCACAGGGAGAGATCCCAGGGGGAACTCAGTATAAGCATATATGGTAGACATCTCCTCCTTGGAAATCCCTGCACAGAATAGCTGCCACTTTGTTGGATTGCATCTCAATCCAGATATCTTGTAATAGCTGTCCATTAATCTTCTAATCCTAACTACCCCTCTAATTGGTCCATTTATGAACATCATTAAATCATCCACAAAACATAAATGTGTTATCACAAGAGGCTTACATATGGGATGGTAGGGTATCTGATTCTCCAGTGCTCCTTTCCTTGATAAATAGTCAAGGACTTCCATTGCAATTGTGAACAGACAGGGAGACAAAGGATCTCCCTGTCTCAATCCCTTACATGCTTTGATGTTCCCACAGAGCCCCATTAACTAACACTTTAATAGTTGGAGTAGTAATACCGGCAAACAACAGCTTAAAAAAATCAGCCAGGAACCCCATTACTTCCATGACAGTGAATAAGAATTTCCAGTTGACTGAATCAAAGGCCTTCACAATATCTATCTTCACCACACACCTAGGAGTAATGTTCTTCCTATGATAATTTCTTACAAGTTTAGATACCAAAAGCATATTATCACTAATTGTCCTCCCTTAAATAAAAGCAGATTGAGACCTGCTAATCACACCTGGAAGAACTAATGCAAGTTTGTTTGCCAGCAATTTAGAAATACCATTATACAAAGTATTGCAACAAGAAATAGGTCTATAGTCTTTCATCTTCTCAAAACAAGGCAGCTTTGCAATCAATGTTAAGACCATACTATTCACAATTGGAGGCATTATACCAATAGAGAAAAAAGACATGATTACCTCTTCCACCGCTGGTCCAACAAGATTCCAATGTACTTTGTAGATTTCAACAGGAAATCCATCAGGCCCAGGGGACTTGTCTTTACCAAGGGTTTGGAATACTTGTTTTATTTAAGCTCTTGTGATACCTCTCATTAACATAGCCTTCTCATCCAATGATAGCTTGTGTTGTAGTAGCTCTTGGTAATAAACTATAGATTGCTGCTCCACATTTAGATCCTCAGAACCAATCAACTGCGCATAGAAATCCATTGTTATTTCTCCTATGTTCTGCACATCAGTTTTCACTTCTCCCTGATCATTTACCATTCAAGTAATCTGCTGCTTTTATGTCTTGATCTTTACAGTTTTGTGAAAATACGAAGTATTAGAATCCGCTTCTTTTATTGCATTTGTTCTTGCCTTCTGCCTAGAGTATAGTTCTTCTGCCTTTTTAAGTGCAAGGTATTCAACACAGCTTCTTTTCTTTATCAATAAGTGTCTCACTGGGATGATTCAATACAACCATTTGAGCAGCCTCCAAAGCAACTATTGCATTCTTCACTCTGCTAGAAATATCAGAATATTCAGCTCAGTTCAACTTCTTAAGCCCCTGCTTGACACTCTCCACATTTTCATAGAAAACATAATAGGGGTACCTTGACACCTTCTTCCGCCATGCTTGCTCAACAATATCAAAATAGGTAGGATGAGATTTCCAGAACACAAAATACTTGAATTGCTTAGGAAGCGTTTTCAACCTGGAATCAGTATTCAAGATTAAGCCACAATGATCATACACTCCTGGAGGGTTTGTATGAGCTGAACTATTTGAAAAATTCTCCAACCATGCCTCATTCACCATCATTCTATCAATCCTTCGAGCAATTAGATTAGTGCTTGCCTATTCCACCAAGTAAACAAAGATCCTACTACATTGTGATCAATCAACTCCATATTCCTGATCCACCCCCTGAAATCATGCATACTCTGTACAACTATCTATGCATTTGAAGCTTCATTGACTTCAGTGATGGCATTAAAATCTCCCATGAAAACCATAGGAATACTTCATCTTTCCTTAACAACAATTCCTGATAAAGTAATTTCCTCTCTACCTTCTTATTTGGAATGTAAACAAAAGCTACCATAAATGGTTTTGCAACCTCTACAAGTATCTGTATATAATGTTCACCCTCTTCTATACGGGTAACCTTCAATCCTGCCCTCCAAAAAATCCAGACCCTCCCCATTTTAGACTTAGCATAGTTATTTTAATGCTGCCAAGCAAAAAAAGCACTTGTTATTATTGCCTTACTATTGTCTTCTGTCACTCTATTCTCTAGTAAGCCTACTATATCTATATTATTTACACTCAACTGCTCTAAAACAACTTATGCTTGTCAGGTGAATTGAACCCCTGATATTCCAACTTAACAGCTTCATTTACCTCTCTTTTCCCCTCTTCATCTCCCTTTAGGAGGACAAGGAGGGTAGTTCACCACAAATCTAACTCCTACTTTACTCCTATGCAAACTGGGATAAGTTCGTTTATCAATGAAAGCCTGCCTCTGAACCACAGTGCTACTAGAGCCAATTCACACTTTTTGCTTCCTATTAACCACCAGAATAAAACCATCCTTATCCACCAAACCACTCCTTGTAGAAGAGGTATGTATCACAGTTACCTCATCTGGAATCACTTCCTCTGCTATCTCCTTCCATTTTTTGTGTGCTTCAGTTTCTACCAGAACTACTGTCTCCTGAGGAACTTCCTGCATAACATCCACGACTGCTAGGATTTCCTGACTTCCTGGAATTTCACCTATCACTGGGATTTTCTTAGCCCAAACACGTTGTTGAACTCCCACTAACTTAGCACAAATATGCCCAAAACACTTACACTTCTCACAAATGTTTGACATATGACAGTATACAACATCAATGAACAGTTCTGTCAATCCATCTGGGGTGACACTCAAATTTGTTACCTTCTTCGTTGTTGCCTTGACCTCCACACAAATATGAGCAAAACCCACCTTCTCTTATATCTCTACGTCTCTTATATCTCTATGTCTCTTGAGATGCAATGCCTCTACGATAAGGACTAAATAGATTAGAATCGGTGTTGACAGAAAAAAAGAATTGAGAGATTATTTGTCACCTTTGGCTTTAAGAAGAAGAATTCATTTAATGGTTAGTGGAGTTTGATTCTATGGCTCTGAATACGAGGATTCAGGAGGCTTATAGGAGGGTTAAGAATGGAAATTTAGAATCTTGGAGTTAGGGAATGACAGGACAGGATTGAAAGTGAGAAGTGTGAAGTCGAAGGGCCAAGGGGGTATCCAGGTATTGGAGTAATGGGCGGGTTCGGGAAAGATATTAGAATATTTATACCCTGCTTGTGCCTGATAACTATACATTCGGGTTTTATCTGAACACGCCAGACTTCTAGTCAATACGGGTTTGGATTCGGGTGGATACCCAAGTCAGTGGATTTTTCTGCCAATCCTAGCTGGTCGTCGTTCAAACCTTGTATTTATTCCCTCTCTCTGTATCGCCCTAAAACCTAAACCCTTGTACTAGACCATTATGTTGCTTATCGGTGATCTCAACCTAAAACCTCGCTCCATTGCGATATAGTTTACATGTAGGTGAACTAAAATTTTGGGAACTTGAACCTTTCAAATTCCATGAAATTTCTCATTTTATAGCGTTTATTGTTTGTTTTGTGACGTCTTTGGTGTGTTTCTCGACTTTCTAGTAT